CCAACCTTGAGTCAGTGTCACGGTATGATAGAAGATGTTTAAGTCGCTGTTTGTTTGTCCAACCATAGCAGAGCCCAAATAATTTATATTCATCTAAGAAATCATTTACTTGAAAATCTTTGAAACATGAAATCTATTTATCCGGTCTCTTTGGTCTTGCAATATCCGACCCTCTTTTTATTGTGTCAACTCTCTCGACCAGGTCTCGTATAGCACCAACTAGAGTCTCTTCATGACTCCATACAGAAGAGCTAGGTCTCCCTCGTCCAACCATTTTGACCATAAACCTTTCCTAATGTTCTCTTTTATCTCTTCGTGTCACTCTTGACTTTTTTTCCCCCACTCTTAATCCCTTACTCTTCTCGCAAGAGATACAAACTCGTCTCTCTCCTCTTTTGTTTGTTCTACCCCTTGAGAATTTTATACGTAGAGAATGTAGGCAATAATAGACTGAGTGGTGATCAAGGGCAACGCAATTCTTCTCAACCCTCCAATATCATCCTCAATCAGTTTCTTTTCATCATCCCTACTTAATCTTCTATTATATCCTTTCACGGTTTCCCTACAAGGTGAACTATAATCTCACAGTCAAATTACATTGCTTATGAACCGCTGCTGATTCTACTGACAAGAGAGACCCGTTCTCTGGAAGAGTGATAATATACTCTGTCAATGGTCCCTACGTTCACTATCTTCAACAAATAACTGATCTTAGTCTAGTCAGTGACGACTCTGAAAGCAGAGTCTCTCATCCGATCAAAGAAAGGTTGCAAAAACTCAAGCTCATCCACACTAGAGAGACTTATGTTTGAGATCCGAAAAGTGCATTTTGTATTGACTATTTTTCGTTCTAATACAATCCCAAACGTTAGTTGTTGAATAGTACCGGACATTATTGATCATTATAAACAATGTCATGAAAGGTAAATCTCAAGATGAGTGTAGTCTGGGATCTCAAACCGATGCTCAAAGGTATTTAGAAGTAAGGACTTTATTATCAATGTAGAGTCACTCTCTCTCACGTTGCCTACTATGGCAATAGCTTCTAGGGGAGGCAACCAGTTTCCCATATCGTCAAAGTCATCAGTAGCTGAGAAACTCTGGTGTCTCTGAAAATTGCATTATTTCCTTTCCCCAAGTTATTTTTCTCTATAATTTTTCAAGCCACTCCGTTGCCCTTATAAGACTGATGTAAGTTCTCATCCGACATTCCAAATAATCATCTTCCTGCTCTAGGCATGCTGGGGCGTAAATTCTTACGTTCAGGCCGCCAGTACTCAGAAATTTAGTTACTGGAATGTGAAATATTATATGCCCTTTTACACAGGTCTCATATCTCAAAATTACAAAGGGATTATCGGACCATGTCACTTCATAAAGCCTGCTTCTCACAACAATGAGTATTCGTTTTGCGCCCTCTTCACCTTCCATACAAAATCTACCATGGTTGACCAATTGTTTCTTGTCAAATTAATACCAGGTAGAGGAAGAGTTGAAAATCCCTCAAAGACGGCAAGTTGAGTGGATCAAGACGTGGGCACCGGGTGCCCACAGCCGTACCCACCTTCCCCACCCAACCGACAAGGTGATTGGGTTGGGCTTAGGTCTACCTATGCCTCCTTGGGTGGGTGACTGGCGTGTGCAACTAGTGGGCATTTTTGGGTCATGGGCGGGTTAATATTTGCTCTGGGTCACCCACCATGTGAGCGACAGGTGTATGAAGTGTCGGCCTGGGTCACCCGACCCATAGATTCAGGACCACCCAAGAAAATATCCCCCCCCCTCTCCCTCT